GGGCGGGGCCGGTACCGGGGCCGGGCCGGGCCGGGACCGATCGCGGCGCGATGCAGAAATACGAGAAGCTGGAGAAGATCGGCGAAGGTGCGTCAGGGCCGGAGCCGTACGGAGGGAGCCGGCTGCTGCGGGGCCCGGCGGCGGTGCCGGTACGGGTACCGGGGTCTCAGCCGTGACCCCGTTCCATCCCCCGCAGGCACCTACGGGACCGTGTTCAAGGCCAAGAACCGGGAGACGCACGAGATCGTGGCGCTGAAGCGGGTGCGGCTGGACGACGATGATGAGGTGAGGGGGGGCTGGGGCTGGGACCCTCCCGGTACCCCCGGTACCCCCCGGTACCCCGGTACCCCCCGGTTCCCCCCGGTTCCCCCCGGCTCCCACGTGCCGCGTGTCCCGCAGGGGGTGCCCAGCTCGGCGCTGCGGGAGATCTGCCTGCTCAAGGAGCTCAAGCACAAGAACATTGTCAGGTACCGGCGGCTCCGGGCGCGCCGGGGCCGGGCCGTGGCTCGGGGGCTGCTCCTGCCGCTGCCCCGGGCCCCCCGGGCCGGGGGCTCAGCCGCCGCTGCCCCGCAGGCTCCACGACGTGCTGCACAGCGACAAGAAGCTGACCCTGGTCTTTGAGTTTTGTGACCAGGTGAGAACGGGGGGACCGGGGGCGCGACCTGAAACCGCAGAACCTGCTCATCAACCGGGTGCGCGGGCACGGGCGGTGGGGATGGCTGGCTGGCTGTCTGTCCATCCTGGGCAGTCACACCTGCCAGCGGGGCTGGCTGTCTGTCTGTCTGTCCGTCCGTCCTGGCAGTCACACCTGCGAGCGGGGCTGTCTGTCTGTCTGTCTGTCCGTCCGTCCTGGCAGTCACACCTGCGAGCGGGGCTGTCTGTCTGTCTGTCTGTCTGTCTGTCCTGGGCAGTCACACCTGCGAGCAGGGCTGTCTGTCTGTCCGTCCTGGGCAGTCACACCTGCGAGCGGGGCTGTCTGTCTGTCCTTCCTGGGCAGTCACATCTGCGAGCGGGGCTGTCTGTCTGTCCGTCCTGGCAGTCACACCTGCGAGCGGGGCTGTGCTTGGGGGTGGCACTTGGCAATGGGGGCTGTCTGTTTGTCTGTCTGTGTGTCCTGGGCAGTCACAGCTGGTGTCTGTGCAGCCGCAGCTCCGTCTCTGCCGTGTTCCCAGTGATGGGAAGGCAGCAGGGCCGCTGTCCCTGGGGGTGGGGCACGCGGTGGGACCCCCCAGGCTGACCCCGCGTGTCCCCCCAGAACGGGGAGCTCAAGCTGGCGGATTTCGGGCTGGCTCGGGCCTTCGGCATCCCCGTGCGCTGCTACTCGGCCGAGGTGAGCTCCTGGGGCTGCTGGGGCTGCTGGGGCTCGGGCTGCTGGGGCTCGGGCTGCTGCCCTGCCCAGCGGCTGGGGCTGCCCCGTCCCCATGCCAGTGTCCCCGTGCCAGTGTCCCCGTCCCTCCCCAGGTGGTCACCCTGTGGTACCGGCCCCCCGACGTTCTCTTCGGGGCCAAGCTCTACTCCACCTCCATTGACATGTGGTCAGCTGGGTGCATCTTTGCGGGTACACGGGGGGCCGGGGCAGGGG